GGACAGTCTGTGTTGGAAACGGTTTAATCAAGCACCCATTTGTCATACCAAAACACACGATCCAGACTATATTGGGGGCAGACATACTGCGCAGCTTAAGGGCCGTGGTTGATCTGAACAGCGAGCGGCTTGCTACCGAATTCGGCACTACCCCGCTGTTACACTCCAAAAGGAAGAGGTTGCCAACCGTAAGCACAGAAACAACTGACACGAATGTGTCATCGTCATTTTGACCAATGGTGCAACGATACTCTCATCTGTTCACAGGCGATGACGACCCGTACGGGTTCTGTAGCTGGGTCGAACACGAAATTCCAATGAAGGGAGGAAAATTTCGAGCCTGTGTTTCACACGGAATTCCACTACACTTGGAGGATGAAGTCAAGCGACAGGTTGAACAAATGTTAAAGGAAGGGGTCATTGAAGAAACTCGAAGTCCGTATAACTCGCCCGTGCTGCTGGTCAAAAAGCCCAAAGGCAAATCCGGTTCTGCTGTGTGGATTTCCGCCAAGTAAACACTGTGGCTATAAACAAACCAGTTCCAGTCCCAACTGTGGCAGAAATTTTTGACCAACTGCAAAGCGCGAAAGTGTTCTCAGTTGTGGATCTACGATCGGGATATTGGCAAGTACCAATAAAGAAAACCGACCAAGAGAAAACGGCGTTCACAGTAGGCAATGAACAATATCAGTTCAAAAGAATGCCATTCAGATTATCAGGAGCACCATTTACATTCCGCCTCCTCATGCTGAAGTTACTCGATAGTGTCCCCAACGTGGTGGTGTGTGGTGACGATATTGTTGTCTACAGTCAAACAACAACCAAACACACATTCCACTTGGAAACTGTCCCGAAACGAATCCAAGAATCTGACCTTCGGATTAATGGATCGAAGTCCCAAATTGGGAAGCCGACAGTGACTTTACTTGGGCACTAGGTTGGAAACGGAGAAGTGAGGCCACTTCCTGAGAAGATCCTCAAGTTAAAGGAGTTTGCACGACCAATATCGAAAAGAACATTAAGATGGTTTCTGGGCTGTGCCGCATACTATAGCCGGTTCGTCAAAAACTTTACGAATATCGCTTCAGATGGACACCAGTGGCTTTCCATGAACTCCAAAGGATCATGACCGAACAACACCTGACACTGAAGTTACCGGTGTGACTTTGGAGTGAGAGCCGTCCTCAAACAAGCAAGTGGAGTGATTGAATACCCAAGCAGGCTCCTCACTCCAACGGAATGGAAATATTCCACCACCGAAAAAAGAATGTCTTGCAATCGTTTGGACCACAGATAAGTGGCGACGATACCTTATGGGTCAAAGGTTCTATATAGAAACGGACCACAAGCCGCTGGAGTGGATTAAAACCGCTAAGGACCCGAGAAGAAAACTAGCCCGATAGGCGCTTCGGCTGCAGGAGTACGACTTCACGATCAATCATGTTGCAGGTATCGAAAACTGTATGGTGGACATTTTGTCTCGTCGGGAGGAAGCAGATTCCTTCAATGTCAGTATACTGGCAGCGGGACAAGACCCGCACGAATTGATGAAGGGAAAGCGCAAGGACCAAGAACTCCGCAAGGTAATAGAAGCAATCTCACAAGGTCAGCAATACCGAAACGTTCAACATATTACACACATGAAGTCATGGAGATCCGTATGGAAGCAGCTTTATTTGAATGTCGCTGATATCTTAATGAAACGGCAGCCAGGAAGAAGGTGCCCTGTGGTCGTCATTTCTAACCAGCTGCGTCAAATCCTCATCAAAGTAAGTCATGAATTGGCCTACACTGGATGCGCTCGAAACCACAATTTACTTCGACAGCGGACATATTGGCCAACTATGCAGGCTGATGTGACAAACCAGGGGCTGGCGTGTGAAGAATGCCAACTATTCAAGTCAGACTCCGCCCATCACAATGTCCAATTCAGTCAACACCGGTATTCGAGATCGGTTAATTATGGTCCAACGACCTCATGGGTCCATTTCCGATGTCCCCTAGAGGACACCAATACACCGTCTTTTGGAATTATACCAGTAGTGGTAGTAGTAGTAGTAGTAGTAGTAGTAGTAATGCGCAATGAACTCGGAATACGAATCAAGGGTTGGGAATCACGGACTGGATCATGTAAGCACTGGCTTTAGCAGGCAATATCCCACGTAACTGAGACGCGAGAAAAAGGGTGTCGGAGTAGTAGTTCATTTTTTGAAAGAAATAATGGGGATAAAATAATATTAACAAAGTACGTTCATTGTTTATCCGGGCTTCTATCAATCGCATTCCAGTATTTCTTGCAGCGTTGTGCTGCTGTCTGGGCCACACGGTCTCTGGTTGACTGGTACGATCTACCTATGGCACGTAGTCAGAAGCAGTGACACGTACGCGCGTTGTTGACGTCACCCGTGAAGTTTGATTGATTGCAGTTGTCCAAAATATGTAACGCGTCTCTCCAGGGTACGAGTCATCTTGTAGGCCCGGATCATCACAATGGACATCAACTAAAATTGGAGACGTAAATAGTTTTGGAAGGGTACTGAGAAGGTTCACCAAATTTCTCCCAGATTTTCTAGGGTTGACGTAAACCCAGAGGCTAGAGAGTCTGGGAATTTTCTCCCTGAAAAGGAGAAGTGAGAGATGGAATCTTTTCGAGGCCCTAAAGCTTCTCGTTAGAGTCTCTAGCACTGTATCCCCTTAGTCAGCTTAGATAACAACCGCTTAGAGGTAACGAACTACAAGTGAGCAAACCCAGGGTTCTGAAGAGTATAAGAGTGAACGTTTTCTCCCACAAAGTGGCAAACGCGTAGAACAGACTGCACGCGGAGGTAGTTTAAGCCTAGACTGTAGTGCAGTTCCAGGCCAGACGGGACAATAACTGGATTCCACCATTTCCCAATTCCAGCGGTCTGGCACCTTTGATCCAACCTTCTACTATGCAGCCCTTTCCTACTCAAAGACCAACTGTAATGCTCCCTCCCTTTCCCTAATTATGGTAGCACTATATCACCCTTACCCCTTACCCTTATGCTCCTTTCCGTCCATTCACTCTGTTGTCAATCGAAATATTGTGCTTGCCCAGAATTGCGTAACAGTGCTAGATATAGGCCGATTATCCGTCCTGATTCGTGAGTCAACTGCTTATTCCAGAATTAATCCTGATATTGTACTCTGTAAACTGTGGAGTTGACACAAGAACATATGAATAAAGAAGCCAAAAACACAGGTTTACACAATGTATCCTGGATCATTTCGCTGCATCTGTACACGTGCATACTGCAGTCTATGTGATCATTAATATATGGTCAGTAAATAACAAAATCATAGGCGGAGAAAAATTGCGGTCAAAATCACTCACCAAACACATTTGTTATCAAGGTAGCGCAGGAGAGATAAGCCATTCACGAGAACATTTACCTGGCAATCCATCTTTACTAATCTGAAGTATTGGATTACCGGACGATTGAAGCACGGTGGGACATTCACGCTCACTAACGCAAGAAACTAGACTATAGTTGGCCCGAGTCGTAATTCCTGGGATCCGATTTGATCCCATCTCATCTGATCCTTATTCTATCGATACTGTTATGGACTTTGTTTCAGTGAATCTACCGTCCCTGTTCCTCTCCCACTTGTTCTTCCTTGGAGCAAGGTGATAGATACACTTATTCTAATGGGCCACGAAAATGACAAGACACTCCAAATAGAGCAGGCCTTTAATACAACACTATGAAAACTTAAACAACAGCACCACTTTCGAACGGATTCGTCCAACAGGGACTACGATTCCACGGTTGTATGGACTGCCCAAAGTAAATAAGAGTAGAGTTCCCCTCAGGTCAATCCTGGACATGTGCAACTCGCCTTACCATGGGGTAACTGGTCCTCTGGAACCGGTGAGGGTGACATTAACCTTGCATAGCCTTAGGGATACAATCAGGCCCATTGACGCCTTGAATGGCATAAATATCAAAGATCGCCACACGTTTTCGCTAGATGTCACATCTCTGTTCACGAATGTTCCAGTCGGCGAAACAATTGATTATTTGTGTACCTATATTGAAAGTATCGGGATTAACGTAGGCCTACCGACAGACGACCTAAAACAGTTGCCATTCTTCTACACTGACAGTGTGCATTTCAAGTACGGTGAGGAAATCTATCGCCAGAAGGACGGTGTAACGATGGGGTCCCCGCTAAGGCCCTTGTTTACTGATGCTTTCATGTCAAGAGTAGAAAACGGTTCGCTTAAAATACATATCGAACAATGCGTATTGTACAAACGTAACGTAGACGATATTTTGTG